AAAAAAAAAAAAAAAAAGAATATGGGGTTTGTTTGGACTAGATGGTACTTTGATGTTTGTTGGAGGGAGTGAGATTTCTTGTTTAATATTTATTTACTTGGCAAACTGATATGAAATCACTTTAATAATATTGTCTATGTACTTTGTCTTTAAATATAATAATATTTTTATTCCAAAATGTTAAACCAAATAATAATTCTGTTGTAATTTTAACTGACAATATAAAAACTCAGTTTTTACTTTAGATTGTTAAATTTTTTCATCAATTCTTTGCAGGATAAGAATGCATTGCATCTGTTTTCTATAAATGGCAAGTATCTAGGGTCTCAAGTCCTGAAGGAACAAATATCAGATATGTGTATAATTGGAGAACACATTGTCACAGGCAGCTTACAAGGATTCCTGTCTATAAGAGATCTCCACAGGTAAATAATAAAAGTTATTGAAGTATCACTTAAAAAAAGATGGCACTTCTAGTCTAGAATAGAAATTAGGAATCTAAGATTTTTAATGTTTTGGTATATCATTTATTATAAAAATTGTCTCTTGACAACTACAAAAAAATGGGGAAGCTAAAGTATTCCTGGATTAGTAAATAAAACATATATATACATTTTAAAATACATAGAAAAATTTACATTATATATATTTTACCACAAATTTAAAAAATTTTAAATATGTAGAGCCAGAAAAAAATTTTCATAGTGCCAAGCTTGGATTGTGGCTTTTGAAATTTGTCCAAATTATGATTTGAATTTTTAAAACTAAAGTTTTTTTTAATTGTGGCAAAACAAACTATTTTTAAGGTTAACATATTTGTTCATGTATGTGTATATGGGTGTATAAAGTTGGTGGGGGAATCTTTTGTATAATCAGGTGAAAGAGAGATGTGTGAGTAGTGGATATATTTTTAGGTTGCTATTTTTTATATTTACATAAATACATAAACCTTAAATATATAAGGCACTTTTATTCCATGTGTGCCCAAAATACATTATTTTCTCCCCCTTTAAAAAAATTTGTTGTGGGCTGGGCACAGTGGCTCACGCCTGTAATCCTGGCACTCTGGGAGGCCGAGGCAGGAGGATCACTTGAGCTCAGGGCTTTGAGACCAGCCTGAACAGGAACGAGACCCTGACCCTACTAAAAATAGAAAAAATTAGCTGGGTGCATTGGCAGGTGCCTGTAGTCCCAGGTACTCAGGAGGCTGAGGCAGGAGGATTGCTTGAGCCCAGGAGTTTGAGGTTGCTGTGAGCTAGGCTGAAGCCACGGCACTCTAGCCTGGGCAACACAATGAGACTCTGTCTCAAAAAAAATAAATAAATAAAAATAAAAATAATTTATTGTAATTTATTGTTACTCCTCAAACTATCTTGAGTCTCCCATAAAACCTCTTTTTTTTTTTCAAAGAGACAGGGTCTTACTCTATCACCCAGGCTAGAATACAGTGGTGCAGTCATAGCTCTCTGTAACCTCAAACTCCTGAGCTGAAGTGATGCCCCCGCCTCAGCCTCCTGAGTAGCTAGTTCCACCATGCCTTGCTAATTTTTATATTTTTTATAGAGACAGGGTCTCACTATGTTGCTCAGGCTGATCTTGAACTCCTGGCCTCAAACGATCGTCCTGCCTCAGCCTCCCAAGGCGCTGGATGTACAGGCATGAGCCACTGCACCCAGCCTTCCTCCTTATTTTGCATTTTCCTTATTTTTGTCATTCTTTGTCCAGTGGTACATCACTGAGTCTCTGTTCTGATCATATCAGGGTACTGTTAGGAGAGTATCAAATTAGAAAAATAAATGGGATCTTTCAACAATTTACTCTAGAACATAATATGTATATCATAGGATTTGTCACTCTCTAATTATTAAACAAGCATAGGCATTTTTCATAATGGAATATCAGATCAATTTTGGACCAATTTTATAGACCTCAAAGCCCCCACACATACACACACATGTGCACTCACACACGTACTTTTTGAGCTTTTTGACCTTCTTACCCAACTTTCACTTATTAATCAACAAGGTGAAAAGAATTTTTTTTTTTTTTTTTTGAGACAGAGTCTCACTGTGTTGTCTGGCCTAGAGTGCCGTGGCGTCATCCTAGCTCACAGCAACCTCAAACTGCTGGGCTCAAGCGATCCTCCTGCCTCAGCCTCCCAAGTAGCTGGGACTACAGGCATGTGCCACCATGCCCGGCTAATTTTTTCTATATATTTTTAGTTGTCCAATTAATTTCTTTCTATTTTTAGTAGAGACGGGGTCTGGCTCTTGCTCAGGCTGGTTTCAAACTCCTGAGCTCAAACAATCCGCCTGCCTCGGGCTCCCAGAGTGCTAGGATTACAGGCGTGAGCCACCGCGCCCGGCCTTGGTGAAAAGAATTTAATGGGAGTGCCTATGTGCTCAGTTCTATCAGGATGCCTACTCATAATAGCTGATTTGGAGGGGTTTAAGACTAGTTGGGGAAATACCAATATTTGCGTACTAATTAGGACAGTTTAAAACTAAATTATGTGTTACTAGTTATATGTACAGGAGGAGTTTTAAAGACATGAAGGATTACTGTGGATGTGAGTGGTCAGAGGAGTCTTGAAGGGTTAGTAGTAGAAATTGAAATGGAGATAGAAAGAGGGAAGGCTTTCTTTTGTAGATGGAGGTAGGCAGGATGTGAAAAAATAAGGCACAAAGACACAGGGACAGCAATGAGCATGCTGGATTTCAAGGATACATCAAGGCAAGGCTGGAACAAATACCCACTGATAATCTGAGGCTCAGAGAATGGTGACTGGTGCAAAAACTTTATTTCCAACTGCTTTAGGAAGGACACTAAGAAGGACATGGAATCCTGCCAATTTTTTTCTTTACTTTGTCTCTCACTTTCCCCTCTAATCCTATCAGCATTCTTCTGTAAAGGGAACATACAGGCTATTTGCCTCAGATAAATGATGAATGTAATAATATAAGGTGGAAATATGTAATAATAGAGTGGACTGGAAAATAGAAGAGAGTAAGGTTCTCTGGAGAGTAAGGAAAATCATTTTTATATATTAGGTTGATTGCTTTATTAATATTTTGTTTGATTACATATGGTTAAAAGAAAAACAGATGTTGAGAATAAAGATCTATTTATCAAGTATTTTTAGTAATGCTGTAAATGCGGGCCCTTGTGTGAGTCACTTAGACCTTCTAAACCTAAGTTCCCACATCTGTAAAACTAGAATGCAGAACTATATAATCATTATTTTCCAGGTATAAAATTCTGTGAATCCATTATATATCCATGTAATTATGTCTATATTTTTTGTTTCTCTTCTAGTTTGAATCTCAGCATCAGCCCATTAGCCATGCGATTGCCTATCCACTGTGTTTGTGTAACCAAAGAACACAGCCATATTCTTGTAGGTTTAGAAGATGGCAAATTGATTGTAGTGGGTGTTGGCAAGCCAGCTGAGGTAAAACCTAACATCAGTAATTTAATTTCTCGTACTTTCGGGGATTCCTTTGGTTCTCCTTTGTTCCAACTGAATCAGAAGTCTCCATTATGGATGAATAAGTTAAAAAACAAATTTGATTTTTCAAAGGGCAGTAAATGAAAAGAGAGGATAAAGCTGTTACTCAAGAGTGATGTTTATATTATGATATAATTGACAGTATACATTTGGCAATTTCTGTCCACCATTGTATATAAATAAGAAAATTCTTTTATTCCAAATCTGTTTTCAAGACTACTGCTTGGATTTTCAATACATAAAAGCCTATACAAAGAAATGAAATACAGGTTCAAACAATAAAACTATAATATTTTCTTTAATTTTAACAAATAACCCAGCATGACTATATATCAGTTGGCCTTTTATAAAAGCATCATTTTTTACTTAGATCTACAAATATCCCCATATAATGTGCTTATTCTCAGTGAGTTTCCTATGGTAACTGGAAATTTACTTACTAATGGTTTATCAATTACAGAGTATTCGGATACCATAAATCTGACTCTTGTTCCTAGGAAAACTTGGTGGCTATACTCCAAGTATTTTAGTGATTCTTCCAAATAACTTATTTTATTACACCAAGTTAAGTTAAGCATTATAAGTTTTTTAGAGTCACCATTGGTCTTTTCTGAGAAATCTAACAATACAGCATCTGTAGGGTTACTTCAAGAGAAGAAATTACTATCATGTTGTCAGTGGTTATAATAAATCTATTATATTAATACATCATAGGAATCTTTTTGTTTTATAAGTATTTTAAGATTTCTTTAGTCCTTATACTCTTTTTTCAAGACATTATTTTCATTAAAGAAGAGGTCTTCTTAAAGTGACTTCAACATTTAGTTTCAAATGTAATGGTCCCCCAAATATTGTCACCCTATATTGCAGTATCTTACTTATATTTTAAACATTTTAAGTGTATTTCCATTCAACACTGAGATTCTTGATTAATGAATTGCTCAAATAATCTGACCTCTGCTAATGTGATGAATACTTAAGAACTCAGCTCAAACTTCGTACTCTGAGCATGTTTCACTTTCTGTGGTTTATTTAAGTGCCTTTTAAGTTTGCCTGCCTTCCTCTCTCACCTTAGGTAAATTTGCCAGTTCTGATTTTAATTAATTTTTTAAAATAAAATGACCATGATATTTCCATCACTCACTAGAATTGAAGGAAAAAAAATGACGATGATGTGTATTCATTTTCTTTTAAAAATTGACTGGAAAAAACACTCTAGCAGTTGCATTTTATAGGCCTAAATTAATATTTTATAATATTTACCAAATAAGTTTGGTAATTGGCCCTCCTTGAAAGATTTATGTGGTCTATAACACACAGACTCTGAATTGTATATAGTGGGTATATATACTGTGTGTATTGGAATTGTTAATAAAAGTATTTTCTATCTATATCTTTGGATGTATCAGCTAAGTTATGAATCTTCAGTAAATTGAATACTTAGAGTCTTGCATAATTAAAATATAATTCCTTCTATAAATATGACTGTAAAATATGAAATAGATTGATATTTAGTTATGAAAAGACATTTCTATTTCATGATCTATTTTTATGTAAAAACATGAAAATCTTGATTAGTATGTATTTTTAAATTGTGTACCAGTTTTATATATTCTGTCAGTGTGAAATTCATATTTATAAATCAGATTGTAAGGCAGTCATAGACTAATGGAAATATGTATTTCAGAAAATAGATCTGGAAATGAAAATGCCAGAGCCACTAGTATCTTTGTATAATGCTTCCCTTTTATCACTCCAATAAATATATCCTAGAAAAGTGACCATTAAAAAAAGATGGCAGAGGAATCACCATTAAAAACTAGATTGCATTTGGGAAAGTAATGACAACAAAGAATATGGGGTTTTTGTTTTGGTTTTTAAGACAGGATCTTGCTCTGTTGCCCGGGCTAGAGTGCAGTGGCATTATCATAGCTCACTACAAGTTCAAACTCCTGGGCTCGAGTGACCCTCCTGCCTTAGCCTCCTGAGTAACTGGGACTATAGACATGTGCCACCACGCCCAGCTAATTTTTTCTATATTTTATAGAGATGGGATCTCGCTATGTTGCTTAGGCTGGTCTTGAACTCCTGGCCTTAAGTGATCCTTCCACCTTGGTCTCCCAAAGTGCTAAGATTACAGGCATGAGTTACCATGCCCGGCCTGCATGTAGGTTTTTTTGCCCCATCTAGATGTATGAGCACTTCTAAAGGACATTTATTCACTGATTCAATTAATATTTGATTAATATTTAGTAAATGCTGGGAAGGGTTGTAGGTGTTACAAATTTAATGATGAATAAAATGTGATTCTTACCTTCGAAGGGCTTATGCTATTCTTGTTTTGTAAATTACTTTTTATCATCCTATTGTTAAATATTTTTTTGAAAGTCACATCAAAATATTTTAAAATTACTTTCTTTTCATCAAAATATTATTTTTCTTTGTTCTTATCCTTACAATTGGTATTCATAGTACTGTAAATATTAATACAAGAAAACTCCCAAACCTATACGTCATGTATAGCTAGATTATAGTTTGAGAAGCTTATTTTAATGAAGTGAAACACTTAGATAATATGTAAAATAAAGGAATATGGTAGTTTTGAAGTAACTGGGACATTAAATTTTTTAATTTATACACTGGCATTAGACTTTTCTCAACTGAAAGACATAATAAATGTAGAAGTCTGTCTTTATTATTAATCAATAATCTTTAAAACATTAATGATTCTGCTAACAAAACCTATTTCTTCTGCACTCTACAAAATCATTGTCTTATATATCAATTTCATTTATTCTTTTTTTTCTTAACATTCTTCATTTCTCTGGATTACTTTAAACAGATGCGTTCAGGTCAGCTTTCTCGAAAATTGTGGGGATCTAGCAAGCGGCTCAGCCAGATTTCAGCTGGAGAAACTGAATATAATACTCAAGATTTCCAGTGATTGTTATTTCTGTCTTCTGTCATGGATAACTGAAACTTGATTTATTGCTTTGTCACTTTAACCATATCTCTCAACTCTCTGAATTGTTGTAAGGTTTTATCCCTGACAATCTTTTAGGAATTACCACAATTTGGTATGGTATATGTATATATAAAGACAAATGTAGGTTGTATTATATCTTAAAATTTCTGGTTAACATTAATGAATCCATTCTTATTAACTAGTTCTTGGTCTACACTAAGATGTTTTTGAAAAAATACATTTGATTCAATTCAGTGGCCCATTCCAGATCATTAGATCTGTATTTTTTAAAAAGCTTCCAAAATAAGGAAATTAGGTTCAATTCACTTACTCTAAATGGCAAAATTTAAGGTATTTCTAAAAAAAGATTACAAATAATGGGACAGTTGAGAGACATGGATTTTAACACATTCTTTAGTTAATCATTTTCCTATTTGCTGACCACCATACAAAAAATATATCCATTTATTTATGGAACTCCTGATTGGAGGTAATATTTTTAAAGGCATCTTGTACACTTGGAGTTTCAAAACTCAGTAAAAGTTCCAAGTTTGCATGGTAAGATTAAAATAAGAATATTGAATCTGGTACGTTAGCTCATTCCATTACTACTTAGCATGTTATTAATGAGAATTTACTAGATGTATTATTATCCTTAATAAAAGTTGAGTAGGAAAAAGAGAAACTAGACATATATTTTACAGACGTATTTCATTAATAACAATTAAGAAAAAATGCGGATTATGATTTTGACAGTTGGGTCCTTTAAGTAGCATTTGCAGCACAATTTACGTCTACAAGTTCAAAATTTCTTGGCTTTATCTTTACTAAGCAAATACTATGTTTTTCTCTGATAATTAGAAGAGTTAGCAATAATAACCAAATATATTTCATTTTTACTTAGGATATCTATGTGATTGATGAATGAATTAAAAAGATAAGCATAACTTAAAGTAATCATATATGTATAGTAATTTTTGAAAAACACATTTCTATTTCATGTTATGGACAATCTTTAGTATTACAGCT